GATAAAGAGGATGTGGTATAATACACAATGGAATATTATTCAGCCATAAAAAGAATGAAACCTTGCCATTTGCAACAATAGGGATGGGACTAGAGGGTATTATGCTAAGCAAAATAAGTCAGTCAAGGAAAGACAAATACCATATGATTTCACTCATCTGTGGAATTTAAGACGAAGACATCAATATATATACCACTTATATCTTCAAACTACGTAAGGGCAGCAATTGATGGAAAGGCCGGGAAAAAAATATGTATCAACAATTGTAGTTAAGATCTTAATAGACCCCTTCCAGAAACTGATGGATCGATAAAAATGAAACAGATATCAAAGGGACAGAATAGTGTACATATATAACATTACATCCAATGGGCACAGAATACATATTGTTTTAAGCACACATGAATCACTTATAAAACAATACCATTAGGGGAGGTCGAAAAGCTCAAAGAAGGTTATCTCAAAGGGATAAATCCATACGGGACAGCATATTGTCCCCAGTCAAAACTAACCATGAATGGAGATTAATAATAAAAGGGGTAGTTTAGATTCTCCGAATTTGGAAAAACAAACAAACAAACAAACAAACAAACAAACTCCTGGGCAACAAAAAGTCATAAAGGCAATTAAGAAACCTTTCTAGAGAAATGCTAATTAAAACACTACATGTGAAAACTTGTGGGAGACAGCCAAAAGAGTATATAGAGGAAAACTCAGATCTTTAAATACTTGAGGAGGAAACACAGGTAAATAAACTAAGCATTAAACTCAAGAAACTAGGAAAAAGGAGAACAAGTCCAATGAAATAAAGGAATATGTAAACAGTGAAGGAAAGAAATCAACCAAATAAAAAAAAAAAAAAAAAAAAAAAAAGGGAAAATAATCAAAACCAAAAGTGAGCTCTTTGGAAAACTAACTATTGGCAGACCTCAAGAAAGAATGATCAGTAATGAGAAAAAGAAATAACTGTAGCAGAGACTGAAAACTGATGAGAGTGGGAGAAATAAGTTAATACATTTAGAAACACAGAAATGTTATATACAAAATAGGGAATGTGATCGCTAAGCAACAAAAAGTTAAAATAGTAGTCAAAGCTTCTCCTTCCCACCCCTACCAAACCCAGATCCAAATACTTCCATAGTGAGTTTGACCACAAATCTATGCAATAGTTCATCTCAATCTCATGCAAGTTTTTTTCAGAAAACAAAAGAACATCTGTCGTTCAGCCTGTTTTGAGGAGCTAGTAATAATCTTGGTTCTAAAAACAGATTAAGGATAGTTCACGTGTAAGTGTACATGTGAAAATCCTAAATAAGACATTAACTAACTTCCTCTTGGTGTGTTAAAAATCACATGGCGATAAAGCATGGAGTATCCCAGGAATGTGGGAGTGATTTCACACCGGAAAAGTATCATAAGAAGAACAGGAGACCCAAGGACTGGAGGGAGGAGGTCCCACTGTCTGTATGATGGGAACCCCCAAGAGGACACACAAAATCAGAGCTAATTTTGGACGAATAAGAGAATTCAGCAACGTTGCCGTATTCGAGAGGAGCTTCGAATCAAAGGCATTTCGATACACCTGTAATAAACCTCTAGGAGTATCATAAAAATATGACACCACTTTCACCAAAAACTCTACGACATCGGGAAGCAGCTGAGTGTCACTAGGCCGTGCCTCAGTGACACAGCTGAGAAGAGTGGGAGGGATGAGGCCAGGGGCCTGGGGGAGCACAGGAAGTTCACGGGTGCCTTTCCCGCAGAGTCATAGACATCACTTCTAATTTACAAAGATTCAAAAAAAAAAAAAAAAAAGGCAGGTAATACTGTTGTGTAAATTTGGGCAAAGAGACAACAAAAGGGGGAGAAGAGACACAGACTAATTTTCCTCATTGTTCACATCAGGGAACTAACAGACGATACCCAAGTAAGTAGGAAATTATGGGTATTACTATAAAAATGTACAAAGCTACCCTTAGAGTAAAATATTAACCTGCAGGAACATCAGCAGAATAAAACAAAAGTTAAAAAACCACTTCACTCGGTGCAAATTATAGTTTGAAAGAAAAATAGTCCAAAAGTATACCAGGCAAACAAAAAATGGAGTAACAGTCTTACCAAAGTGGAATTCAAGCCAAAAAGCAGTAGCCAAGAAATGCAAAAGCACTGTATATTATTAAAGGGCACAACTCATACAATGACTCGGTATTGATGTTTGTATATCAAACAACATACTAACAACTAGGAGAAGGCAGAGATCCTAGGAGTAAACATTCATGTGCTAGTAGGAGACATCCCCTCACTTCTCTGGGCCCAAGGAAAACAAGTACACAGGTACACGTCTGGCTATAAGGACACACAGCATAATCAAGAAGACAGAGAAAATGGGGTTGAGGGTTCAGAGAAGGTATTTTTGTTCTGCCCGACAGCCTGCGGGGACAGGAAGCCACCACACCAGCGCCCCCAGGGACAGGAGCCCACGGAGTCGGAGTCGGGAGCAGGTGCGAGCTCCTGGTAGGTCTTTCCCACCACCCAGGGCCTTCTCCCCATGCACAGCTTAGGTAGGACCCACGTGGAACTTTCCAAGACCCTGCTGTGCGTGGTGTGCACTGACCAACCCCGGCTTAGACTGGAGCCCCCAAAGCACGCCACCCACGGACCCTGATGAAGGCATGTGCCGGGGGCCTGGCTGCTCTCTGCCTGCACCCTGCCCTGAGGGGCCCTGGAGGCCTGTACAGAGTACTTCCCGTAATAAGCATCTTGATTTCAGTGTCTCTCGTGGTCTCTTGCTGACCGTGGCTCACCCTCCCACATCCTGCGCTCCACAAACGCTAATTTAAGAGTCGTAACAAATGGAGATAAACTGAACTCTGTCTATATTTGCAGCCGATAAGAGAATATATCTTTTTTCCATGTGCATAGGGAATATTCATAAAAATTTCCTATATATTAGGCCATTAAAAAGTCTAAATTAAATTCTTAAGGAAAAATAACAAAGACAATATTCTCTGAACATAATTCAGTAAGTAGCTGGCAACAGAATCAGAAAATAAAAAGATTCTTTACCTGGAAATTAAAAGCATGAAAAAACTCTGTTTTAAAAGAACACTTAGGAGGGGGCACTGGGTGGCTCAGTCGGTTGAGCATCCGGCTTTGGCTCAGGTCATGATCTCACGGTTCGTGACCCATATTGGGCTCTGGGCTGACAGCTGGGAGCCTGGAGCCTGCTTCTGATTCTGTGTCTCTTTCTCTCTCTGCCCCTCCCCCTGCTCACATCTGTCTCTCTCTCTCTCTCTCTCTCTCTCTCAAAAATAAATAAACATTAAAAAAATTATATATAAAAAAAGGAATACTTAGGGAAAAAAAGGAAGAGTTAGCTATCGAATTTCTAGAGAAAAAATGCTTGGGAAAACCCTACCTACCTGAACGTAAGCATATGTAACTAAAGCAGTGCTTGGATGAAGTTATATAGTTTTATGAACTTACATTAGTAAAAAAATAAACTACATGGATTAGACATCTTCCTCAAACAGCTGGACAGAGAAAAACAACACAAAACCCAGAGGAATAATGGAAGATACTTAAAAAATATTAATATGGGTATTGAAAGACTGGAAATCAAAAAGAGGTATTAAATAAAAAGCTGGGGTTTTTTTTGAAGAAAGCAATTAGATAAACTTCTAGGCAATCTATGTAATGGAGAAAACCCAAGTTAAGAAAACAAGAAATGACCAGGCAAATGACGTCAGAAATTGGAAACTGAAAGGATATCAAGGTAAGGGGTTTGCTCAAATCCACATGGGGCGTTCTAACACTTGAATGAAATGAGAATGTTATCTAGTTTAATGAAACTGACCCAGGAGGGACATGAAATCTAACTAGACCAGAACCATGGAAGAACTATCCTGTCATAAAACTCCTGGTCCACATGGTTTTCAAGGAACATGCTCCCAAATACAGAACCTAATGAATGAGCTTTTTTGCGAAGTGCTTCATGTGGCCTACAAATAATACGTATTCTGCGCCTGTTGGGAATGAAGTTACACGTATAGCTTATGCCTGTATTTAAAGAACAGATCATTATGAAGGTGTTTCCACTATAAGCTACTGAAACCATGTATTTTTTTTTTAATATGAAATTTATTGTCAAATTGGTTTCCATACAACACCCAGTGCTCATCCCAACAGGTGCCCATGTATTTTAAAATAAACTTTACACAGTCTTTTTGAAAACTGGGCAGGGTCCCAGGGAAAGGAAGCTGTGGGTTTGATGGCCTGCCACCTGATAAAAGCCCGGGAAAAGCCAGAGAACTGGGAGAAATCCAGGACAGAAAGAACGGCAGAAGGACAAAGGACGGGAGATCCTGGAAAGGTGGCCCGGTTTGGCCAGACCGTGGAGGCATCGTAAGAATATATGTCAGGGTAACTGATTTTGGGTTTCGTCCAACAGTGGCTTTGTTGATGTGATCAAACGTACGTTTCTGGAAAGCACTGCTGGCGGCCACCGGTCCCAGATGAGGCCAGGGGGTAGCGGGAGGCTGGCTCCCAATACGAGAGCTCTTGAGGTCCCACCCACAAGAAGGCAATGACCGTAAGGCCGAGGTGTAGGAGGGAAAACAGAGGGCTCTACAATCATTAACACCTAATCTTTCACGATCACAAACTATTTGCATGTTAAAGTCTTTTTTCGTGATTCTGACCTAATTTGATTCTGAAAGCACCCCTTTACAGGAGGAAGAGAAAACATCATCACTCCCATTGGAAAGAGGGGAAAACCGGGAAACCAAATAGAGAGCACCTTCTTTGCTTGAAGCTTCTTCGTCGAGGCCGCGTCTCTCCCAAAGGGAAAATATAGGTGCAAGTATTTTAATCCCCCCAATTAGAACAGGAATAGACTATTTCAGGAAGAACTATAGTATTTTTAACTTGCATTACGCTTTTTATCCTAATTAATATTCCACATCTAAACCACTTGTGACTATTTCCAAAAGTCTTATTACCTCCAAGGCAACTTGATTTTCTGTCGAAACTGCTGCTCCAGGAAAAATGTCTGCCACGATCTTTTCAAAAAGTGGGACATCTTCAGGCAGAAATTTTGGTAAACTAGCTTCTCTTACAGCCTCGGTAAGGATCAGACTTTCATCCGTTTCAGAAAGCTCGCTATTGGTGTTACTTTGTGGGGGGAAGAAAAGACATAGAAAGAACAAGTTAGCAAGTACGCTCTGCTGACATTAAAGGCCATCCTTAGTCTTTTTTAGAGGTGGCCACCCCACATCCTTTCCCCCTCTCCTTCACTGCAGAGCAGCCACGTGGTGTGGGTGAGGCTAATCTGGTCCCCAGATCCAGAGACGGACCGTGGCTGGTCTCAAACAATCAGGATAATGTCACTCCCCAGTCACTGATTCAGGGATGGGCATGGTATCAGTAAGGTGTTTCAGCTGCCAACAACAGAAATTCATGTGGGCTGATATGAAATGGAAAGTAACATGATGATTTATTAAAAATCTCTAGGTGGGCCAGAGAAGTCGGCTTGCAGGCTATATAGCTGGGAACAGTGGCCAAGACTATGCTACAGAACCGGTCCTGTGAACACCTGACAGCTAACGTAACAGGTCCAGGGGCCTTGCGTGTGCATTTCTTTTCCCACTAGCTTCAGGTTCAGACTGGAGTTTAACTGTCTCCGATTTGCCCAGGCTGTATGTTTAAGCCATGATTATAAGGGAGTTTTGAAAGGCAAGAATGGGGGCTAACAAATGTTCCTTAAAGGAATGTGATCCCAGCTCCGGTCAGTGGCAGTCACGAGGACACAGTGATTCCAATGCCCTGTGTGTTCAGAGTGGTTCGGGACTCGGTTCAGTGGGGCGGATGGCTCCGGGGATCCTTCCAAACCACCAGAAAGGAAGCCGACCAAGCCAGGACGCGCAGGGCTGCAGTGCTGACAACATCACAGAGAAATAAAGCGGAAACCGGCATCCAAGTCATCAGACCCCGCCCTCCTCTGCATTTTCTGATTGAAACAGTAAATTCCTCCTACTGTTTAAGCCAGCTTCAGTTTTCTGTTATTTGCCACAAAGGGCTCCAGATGTAAAAGCTGTCACATAATATGTTGTCCCATAACAACATTTTACACATTTATCCCTTTACCACATATTCTTATATATTAAACAGGCAACTGAGAGAAATAACTGCATGTGGTGTGATACAATTGTAGAGAGGCAAAGGAAGAAGAGTTTTCTGTGCAAAAGTGTCCTTCTCCTCTCCTGTTGACGGCTGGTCCAGAAATTCTTCATCAGGATGGTGGTAATTTTTAAGTCTTCGATCCTTAGTAAAGATAGGTAATAGCTAACATTTATTAGGTACTTTTTACTGGGCACTTTTTTTTTTTTAAACTTTAGTTTTGAGAGACTGCAAGTGGGGCAGGGGCAGACAGAGAGGGAGACACAGAATCCGAAGCAGGCTCCAGGCTCCAAGCTGTCAGCACAGAGCCTGATACAGGGCTCTGTACCTCAAGATCATACTCACGGACCTCGAGACCATAAGCTGAGCCAAAGTCTGACACTTAACCGACTGAGCCACCCAGGCGCCCCTTCAAGATTTTTATGTTTCTTTTTCTGAGAACTGTCCTTGGCCCTACAATGTCTTCCCTGCATTTTCTAGGCAGTCCTCACGTGTCATGGGGATGACCCATCCCACCGTGACAGGAAATGCAAACACCTTTCTTCCAGTTTATCATCTGTCTTCTGACCTTACCGTGTTTTTCGACCATTATCAATCATTCTTTACCTTTATGGCTTCTGGATTTTGAGTCTTAGTTTTAAAGGTCTTCTCTAGTTGCAGGATATAAAGGGCATTTTGTTTCTTCAAATACTTGTATGTTTTTAGTGCTTTTTTGGTCCTTTTATCTGGGAAAATGACGTTGGCTGCGGCTCCAACTCAGTCTTATGCACGTGGCAGTCTAGTTCCCCATCAGCACTCACTGGAAGTCTGTTCTTGCCTCACAACTGATGACAGAATACATGCCCAGTCGTGAGGTCCCACCTCTGGGCTTGCTCTCCTGACCCGATGGCTCACCTCTCTGTCCGTAAGCCAGCACCACGGTGCTGGAACCAGTGAAACTCCATAATACGTCTCAATACTTACAGGGATATTTCTCCTTCACTGCCCTCACTTTTTTTTTTTTTTAATTTTCTTTTTTTTGAACGTTTATTTATTTTTGGGACAGAGAGAGACAGAGCATGAACGGGGGAGGGGCAGAGAGAGAGGGAGACACAGAATCGGAAACAGGCTCCAGGCTCCGAGCCATCAGCCCAGAGCCCGACGCGGGGCTCGAACTCACGGACCGCGAGATCGTGACCTGGCCGAAGTCGGACGCTTAACCGACTGCGCCACCCAGGCGCCCCCACTGCCCTCACTTTTAAACATTTTTCTAGCTAGTCTTTATTGTTTGTCTATGTGAACTTTAGAATCCGCCCACCTAAAAACAAATAAAACCTTTAGGTATATTCACTGGGCTGTGTTTCTATATATAAATGAACATTTAGAGTCTTTAAATCTTTATGATGCTAAGCCCTTTAAGATGTTATAATATTACGTACCTGGTATATTATTTCATTTATTCACATTTTCATTTGTGTCCTTTACGAATGTTTTCTTCGTGTGGGTTGTACACATTTTTCATATAGGCATATTCATATAGGTTTTTTACATTTCTCATTTTAAATGAGGCCTTTTATTCCAGTGTATCTTTTAGGTTTATTTATTTTGAGACAGAGAGCGTGTGTGAGCATGTGCACAAGTGGGGAGGGGCAGACAGAGAGGAGAACAGAAGATCCCAAGCAGGCTCTGAACCATTAGCACAGAGCCTGATGTGGGGCTTGAACCCACGAACCACAAGATCATAACCTGAGCTGAAGCCGGGCACTTAACTGACTGAGCCACCCAGGCGCCCCAGTGTATCTTTTATTACATAAAGCTAAGATATAGTTGTGTTTTTTTTTTTTTTAAAGAATAGGTCCTTTTGTGGAAAAATACCCAGGGATTTTGTGCATTTCCTTCTTCTTCTTTCACATTCTTAAACATTCTTCACCTCTACCATATTTTTATCTCTACTTAAACATCCTGAGAGCTCCCTGTTTTATCTTGACATCATGACTTAGATTTTTACAAATTATTTTCCCCATGTCATGTAACTCTCTTTGACCTAACACTCAATCAAAATTCAACTCACCGTTTAAACTCCCATTTCTTCTTTCCAGCCGCTATTAAAACTGTCTTTAGAGACCTCAAGCCAAAATCATAATGATCCTAGGAAGCATTAAAATATTTGAGTTATTAAAGTGTCTCAGGGAAAAACGGAACTTGGAAATAAATGGGTCTCCGACACAGTCAACTCCCTCTTCACGTACACCGTGGAGACAGACCACGATGTGACTCAAGAAAGCCTCCATTTTGCTTCCAATCCCCTCACCTCCCTCCCAAACTGGTGCCCCAAGCCTCCTTCTTTTTTTTTTTTTTTTAAAGTTTATTTATTTGAGAGAGAGAGGGAGAGCGCGCGCGCGAGTGTGCACGAGCAGGGGGAGGGGCAGAGAAAGAGGGAGACAGAGAGTCCCACTCAGGCTCGGTGCAGAGCCTGATGTCGGGCTCGACCTCACGAATTGTGAGATCGTGACCTGAGCTGAAATCGAGAGCTGGACGCTTCGACCGACTGAGCCCCCCAGGAGGACCCTCGAAGCCTCCTTCTAAAAAGAAAGTTAGCTGTCCCCGTCCCAACCATGTTGGGTTACAGACAAGTACTCTTCACGCTGGCGTATCCCAGGACAATCATTTTCAAAACATGGCGCTCAGACGAGCAGCATCAGGCACTCTTAGGAACTTGTCAGAAACACAAAGTCTCAAGCGCCACCCCAGACAAGCGGAAAGCTGGTGGGAGAAGTCCAGTGACTGGTGTTTTAACCAGTCCTCCCAAGTGTTTCGAAGCACAATGAGGTGTGACAGTCACCACTGTATCTGTCGGCTTCCGGGTATGGAGAGAGCAGCCCATCATGTAAAAGAGCAGATGCTTCGTGACTGTCTCCAGGGCCCAGAGGAAAGGCTTAGAGCCCTGCCGGACTTTACACATCACCTCACATCCGCACTGGCTCATGAACCCGATGCGCTAACAGGATTCCAGCTCCATTATTTCCCCAGGTCATCCCTGGTCCGATGCCCCAAGAGTCTCATTTGAAGTTTCATAGAATCACTTCTATTTTGAGAAAAGCAGTTTGTTACCTGTTGTGAGAGCTGTTTGTTAGCTAATTCGTAAATGCTAACCAGCTTTCCAGAGAGGGATTTTGCAGATTTGAAACCGGATGAAAACAGCATTATTTCAGTAATCATTTGATAATGGGGAGCCATCATCGCCACTGGGCGAAACAGAGATTTTAAGTTATCTGGGAGTTCTACTCGACCTTTGTACCTTAAGCGGGTAAGAAAAACAAAGAAACAAAAAAACCAGACCACTTTTCAGTTTTTCTAATGAGGAACCACACAATATAGTTTCCCCCCAAATAATCCGGTTAGCTTTCTACTAGTTTGTCACATTAGGTTTATTTTTGAGAGAGAGAGGTGAGGGGGAGGCAGGGAAGGAGGGGCAGAGAGAGAGACGGAAACACAGAATCCAAAGCAGGCTCCAGGCTCTGAGCTGTCAGCACAGAGCCCGACACGGGGCTCGAACTGAATAACCGTGAGATCATGACCTGAGCTGAAGTGGGACACTTAACCAACTGAGCCACCCAGGCGCCCTGTGTGACCTTTACCTGAAAACAAGTTTGCAAGACAGTTTCTATTGTAGTTTTCATCTCAAGAGCTTCCTCCTTTACTGTCCTTTCTTCCTGTGCCTCCTCCCACAGGGCCCCCCATCCCGTCATCAGATGGGACCGTCCGTATTCCCTCGAGCCCTCCCAGCCTCCGCTCCTTGTAACCACCATATTCTACTCCCTCTGCTACTCTCTGTTTGTTTGTTTTCTGTCTTCTTTGTGACAAACTGCTGACCTTTGCCTTTCTCCCTGGCTATTCATGAAGTGAAAAATCCCTCAGTCAGAAATGTCCACGTGGATAATTCTGGAGCCACGGCAGTTTAAGACACGTGGGGGTAGAGAGATTCGGGCGTTGGCGAGGGGATGGCAGATTACGGTGTCAGACAACTGCGTCATGGCTAAGATTTAAGAAAAGATTTTGACCTGTCTCCAACCGCCAGCACAGGTTAACCGATACTTACTCAGGATTCATGGTGACAAATACCGCACAAGACATATTGATACGAATGTCTTTTCCTTCCAGTACAAACCTAGAAGACATCGGAAAGGGGTTCAGAATGAGCCCCCACCCCCATGTGCCACTCTGGTAGGTGGATTATTTTCCCCTGAAAATGAAGGCCCGAAAAACCCAGAAAGAACCTTCTACCTCCCCCTTAACTGCTTCTGAGAATTCAGACGGAGGGCCCGGTCCAGAAGGTCACCAGAGACAACTACGGCAGGTTTGGGCCGCGTGTGGCAAGCTGTGGGGGGCTCAGCACAGCCTGCTTATCCCAACTCCTGTGTCCCATGGTCTCTGCAGGACACGACAACTGTCTGTTCACCAAACATGTGCTCCTCCCATCTCCTGTGAGTTCTCTTCCTTCCCTCGAAGCCCCAGACTCCTTCCCCCTTCTCCTTAGCTCAGGATGGCACACAAAGCTTAACCGTCTGCCTGTCTTTGAACGTCTCACGTGTGTGTGAGGCTCCCCTATGTATGGAATTAAAGTTTTCTCCTGTTAATTTATCTTACGTCGGCCAAAAGAGCCTAAAAGGGTAAAGGAAAAATTTTCCTCCCCTGTACAATATGACTCATTACTAAGAGGACTGTTTTCTCTAAGCCAAAGGATGTTCAAACTGTAAGTGAGCTTGGGAACTTTCCTAAGGCTGTTTTACATTTAAATCCAAACTGCACGGACTGGGAGAAAATGAGCGTAAGAGGGAAAGAAGAGGCTGATCTCGAGCCCATGTTGCGAGCCCTGCTGGGGTTCAGATTTACTTGATTGTGTCTGTGGAGTTTTGTGGGGCCTGAGGCGGGAAGGCACCCACCTGAATGAACTGACTGAACGGGAAAAGAACCCTAGGAGACCCTCGGACACAGGGTTCTCCCTTGGTGACAGCGTGGAGCGAAGAGTGATCATGGCGCAGAGTTCCTGCATTAGCACGGGACGCAGCCCGCCCTCAGCTCCCCGGCTGAGTAATTTTGGGAACGCTGGGAAGGAGAACCCTTGGCATGGACATTAGCGCCCTGCTGTCAGCACCAGACAGAGGGACCGTGGAGAGAAATCCTCCAGTGATTTTATGGACGTCTAATACCGGTGAGGGTGGTCGAAGCAGGAAAGGAAAACCACTGGCAACAAAGCCTGGGGACACCCCCCCCCCCACTTCTTTTTTTTAAAGATTGTAATAGACATTTTAAACCCACAAGTCCAATTACACCCATAAAGTAAACCATGTGAGCTCCTGAATTTATCTGACGAGAAAGACATTTTTGCTTGGATTAGTAAACATTAGTAATCTGAACATACAAATAGTATTTTTACAGGATTTTTTCAATACAAGTCTATTAATTCAGAGTAATGGGATAAGGGAGGGCTTCAGGTGTGTGGCCAGTATAATTTTATTTTTTAAAAAGATGTAGAATTAAAGAAAAAGTCTTTGGTTTCTTCACGTGAAATAGGTACTAAGAGAATTTAAGCCCTAAAGTAAAATTAGTTGGAACATATTTGCGACCTTGTCCTGGTGGCTCCCAAGACCGTTCCAAGGCTGGGCAAGAGCCTGGATACCCCCAGGTTGGCATGAAAGTTAGTTACATATATTCACACGTTACTTGACGAGCAAAGGGGACATTCAAGACAAATGTCATTCTTTTCGGTCTATGTTCGGGGAGGGGGGAAGAACCCAAACCCAAACACTTACTGTACAACAAAGTATTTGATAGTAAGTAACCAAACACATTCAACCGATACCTGACCAAATAGCTGTCTTTTGTGGCCTTAATTGTTAGGATCTGCGACGCAATCACAGAGAGGACCTGCACATCGATCCGATTGAACTCGTCCAAACAGCACCACGCTCCCGACTGAACCAGTCCGAGGAAGAGTCTTCCTATTATCTTGAAAACAATTATTACACAGGTGAACACTCTCCCGGGGCCATGGCTCCGTGCGCGCATTCGGCCTTTTACCCGAACAGGTGCACTGTGTGCGGCTGGTGCTCGGACCCCGCAGGGCAGGCTGGCGCTCTGGGGAGCTCACGGCTCAGCACAGGGGTCCTCACATCCGCTCTCCTGCAGCCACAGCCTCGGGGCTGAGCGGAAGGCGTGCTGCTGCTGGGTGATGCACCCGAGGACCTGCGGGAGCTGGGCCACACTGGGGCGGCCCCCCAGAGCCCCGGCAGGTGCAGGTCGGAGTGCCCGGGGCTCTCGGCGCTCCCGGGAGACTCACGGTCTGGAACCTACCAATGGGTAAATGCTGGCCGCAAAAACAAGTGAAAACTCTGTAGGCCCGGCAGAACCTATGTGGACGAAGACAGGCTAGGGACCGTGTGAGCTAGGGCATGGGAGGCGGGAGCGCACGTGGGAGCCCCTCCGGGTGGGACACGGGGCCTGGTTCTCCCCACTGGCTGCAGGAATCACATCGTGTCTTTATTTAAAATTTTGATATTTGGTTTATCGTGCGTTTTTTGATTCTAAAAAAGTATTGCATTAAAATATTATTTGATTAGCAGGCTTCCCAGCTCCCCCTCAGGTTTTGCGTGGGCAGGCAGGCGCCTCAGTCCTGTCCCTCCCCCAGCCCTGCTGCCCCCACCGCAGGAAGAGACAAGAGACTACTTCCTAAAGTCTTAATGATATGGATGCAATCAGCTTGTTTAGGTTTCACTGATATTCTTGATGTGCTAAGTGAGCACAAACTGAAAAACGCAAGATCTCCGGATAATGGACTTTGAACTGCAAATCAACTGACTGCCATAAAAGGTAACTGGCCGGAATTTAACATGCAAGACAAAATAGAGTGTTTTGAAACTTCAGGTCAATTTGGGACAGGCACAGAGGTACATTAAATTTTAATAAATATTTCAGAATGTTATGAGCTACACCTTAGGTCACGTGTTATCATAACAAGGCTGACATAAACTCAATCCTCCGTATCAACCCTGCCTCACATTTTTGTGTTAATAGCCTCCTTGTTCTTAACGATTACCTTTTCAGTAAATAAAGGTATAAGGTTAGAACTTATAAATTTATATTAATAAAGCAGTACTCTTAATTTCTTAATATAGTCACGTCGTATATCAGATTTTGTTTGGAAAAGTCCCCCATTAGAAAGTTTGAAAACCACTGTCTTAGGTAGTTCAACTGCATAATGTTGTAAGTCTCAGTTACGTTAATTTAAAAGAATTAACAGCATTTGCAGTTGCTAACACTCAGTGTCTCTCCAAGGGAAATAATTTCCTTGTTCTTTCGATCCTCCATGAACTATTTCTATGTATGCTATTTTTTTCCTGCATAGATATGAATAGACTTTACCTTATAATCCAAATCCTCAAAACAGTTGAACACCACACAATGTTTGCCTAACGACTGAAAAACAACATTATTTTAGTACATTGCTCAGCTTCTGACGTGAAATACTAATGTTAAAACTTCTGGAGTAATAAAATGTCTTTACTCTTTTGAGAAAACGTTGCAATATAAGCATGCATTACCCACCAAATTTGGAAACACTCAAAACCGAGTGGAGTCTGAATGCGCATACGCTGTTTGTTAAGTTGATCAGTACGTGGAACGCTAAGGTCCTGTTTTTAAAACACACCAACGAGTAACTGAGAAAAAAGCATTCCAGTGACATCGTTCCAGGGACGTCAAACACGTCTTGTGTTCATCAGTTACTTCTCTGTCTCTGTCTCACACACACACACACACACACACACACACACACACTGCTATTAATCACAAAGACTAGGTAAAAGTCTGTGTGGGGGGCTCAAACAAAACGGGTCACCCTTAAATGAAGGGGGACAAGACCACCGTTCATGCGTCAGCTTGTCCGGTGGAATCCCAAACACGACGCACGCTCGGCGTGCAGAGAGGCCAAGTCCCTGTGCACTGTGGACATTTAAAAAATAAAGGACGAATTCTATGAATTAATAAGCATGGTGAGATGTCTGTTAAATGTTAGGAACATCTCAATAGCAGGAACAGTGTGAATTTAAGGTACTGTTAAGGTCTGTGTATTTATTCTGGATACAGAAACCGCTTACCTTTGCTAGATCTTTGACACTCTCTGTTTTGCCCGTCCCGGTGGGCCCAGAGGGGCAGCCTCCGAGATTCAAGAGCAGCGCCCCCGTGAGCGTGAGCTGGCACCTGTTGGTGAGGGGCGTAAGGACCAGTCTGGGGGTACAGCCCAGGTACTCGTAGCCATAAGTAAAGCTGGCATCGCCTTGGGACACGTAGCACAGCTGTTGTTTTTCGTTCCACTGATACTGCAAATGTCTGAGAACGGTATTTTCAATGCTCATGTTATTTGGACAAAACTATTTTTAGTTTTTTTTGCACACGTAGAAACACAATAAAAACTAAAAACGGGATGTTGACTAAAAAACAAGTACAAACATTCAAATAAAAATGACAGGAGTTACAGATCATTCAACGGCTACATCAGACACGAAATATTAGGACTCAGAACTCTACAAGCTTACGAGCACTTTTCCCGGCGAGGAAAATGGCCTTGCTGAATCTTGCCGCTGCTTTGGTGTGGTGTGGGCAGCACTAACGGAGGATTTATACAAGAATGATCCCTATGAAGTTTCTTACAGTTCTCAATAAAAACGTGGCTTATGATATTGCTCATTATAACCAGGACCCTTCCTATAAGGGTAACTGAGGGAAATGCTCTTTGTTCTTAGTATCGAACAAAACCATTGTATTTATCTTATGACCCCGTCAACTGTGTGCTAACTGTAAATCTTCTCTTCTATAAGAGGCTCTGGGTAAAACTTGTGACCAATCTGTAGCTTTACAGTATGTGTTCTTCCCTCCCCCCCCATTTTTATCGAGATATCGACATAAACCTTTGTGTTAAAGGTGAACACACAACATAACGATTTGATACATGTACATATTGTGAAAGAATCACAATAAATTTAGGTAACATCCCTCATTCACACAGGTATGAACTTCATTTTCTTGTGATGACATCATTTAAGATCTACTGTCTTGGCATCGTTCCAATAAAGAATTGTTAACTACAGGTGCCATGCTATACATTCCATCCCCAGAACTTATTTCTAACTGGAAGTTGGTACTATGACGTCCTTCATCCATCTTCCACCCCAGCTCCATCCCCGGCCTCTGGCAACCCCCAATCTCTTCTCTGTTTCTATGAATTCAGTGTTTTGGGGTTTCCCATATAAGTGGGGTCATAGATTATCTGACTTATTTCATTTAGCATAATGCCATCGAGGCCCATCCATGTTGTAGGATTTCCTTCATTTTTTATGGCTGCGTGATATCCCATTCTATCCATGTACTACATTTTCTTTTTTAATATTTTTTAATGTTTACCTATTCTTGAGAGAGAGAGAGAAAGAGAGAGGGAGAGAGGGAAGGAGGGGAGGAGGGGCAGAGTGAGAGAGAGAGACACATAGAATCCGAAGCAGCCTCCAGGCTCTGAGCTGTCAGCAGAGCCCAACACGGGGCTCAAACTCACAGACAATGAGATCATGACCTGAGCTGAAGTCGGACGCTCGACTGATTAAGCCACCCTGGTGCCCCTACATTTTCTTTATCCCTTCATCAGTTAATGAATGTCTTGGCTATTATAAATAATGGTACGATGAACATGGGGGTACAGATATATTTTTGAGATAGTGATTTCATTTCATCAGGGAAAATACCCAGAAGTGGAATGGCTGGATCACATGGTAGTTGTATTTTTAATTTTATGAGAGACCACCATCCATTTCCAGAGTACGTACACCAATTTACATCTCCACCAACAGTGTATAAATGTATTTTCTCCACAGCCACAACAAAATTTGTTACTTCTGGTCTTTCTGGTCATAGGCATTGTGACACATGTGAGGTGATATCTCATTGTGGTTTTGATTTGCATTTCCCTGGTGACTAGTCGTGCCGAACAGCTTTTCACATACCTGTTGGCCATCTGCATTTCTTCCTTAGACTGCATGTCTATTCAGTTCCTCTGCCCATTTTTTTAATCAAAAACATTTATTTTGCTGAGTTGTAGTTCTTTATATAGTTTAGATCTTAACCCCTTATTAGATTAATGGTTTGCAAATATTTTCTCTCATTGCATAGGCTGCCTTTATTTTATTTAAAAAACTTTTTTTTAACATTTATTCATTTTTGAGAGACAGAGAGAGGCAGAGTGTGAGTAGGGAAGGGGCAGAGAGAGAGGGAGACACAGAATCCGAAGCAGGCTCCGGGCTCTGAGCTGGCAGCACAGAGCCCGACGTGGGGCTTGAACTCACGAACTGAGAGATCCTGACCTGAGCCGAAGTCGGACGCTCAACGGACTGAGCCACCCAGGCGCCCCCATAGGCTGCCTTTGAAATTTATTGATGGTTTCCTTTCTTGTGCAGAAGCTTTTGGCTTGATGTAGACCCATTTGTTTATTTTTGCTTTTGTTTCCTTTACTTTTGGTGTCAAATCCGAAAATTATTGCCAAGACCAATAACAAGGAATTTACTGTCCATGTTTTTGTGTAGAAGTTTTATGGTTTTAAGTCTTATGTTCAAGTCTTTAATCCATTTCAGTTGGTTTCTGTGAGGGGCATCAGGTAGGGGTCCAATTTCATTCTTTGCATGCAGCTGTCCAGTTTTCCAAACACTCTTTATTGAAGAGACTATCCTTTCCCCATTGCCTATTCTTGGCTCTTTGGTCACAGATTGACTACATATACGTCAACATATATATACACGTATATACGTCTATATGCATGTCTATACATATCTATCTATCTATCTATCTATCTATCTATCTATCTATCTATCTATCTATCTCCTGGCTTTCTATTCTGTTCCACTGGTCTATGTGTCAATTTTTATGCTAATACCATAGTGTTTTGATTATTATAGCTCTGTAATATGGCTTGAAATCAGGAAGTGTGATACCTCCTTCTTTGTTCTTCTTTCTCAAGACTGTTTTGGATATTTGAGAGGTCTTTTGTGGTTCCACAGAAATTTTAGGATTTTTTTTTTCTATTTCTGTGAAAATTGCCACTGGAATTTTGAGAAGGTTTGCATGGAATCCATAGATCACTTTGGGTCATATGGACATTTTAACAATATTAATTTTTTTCAATCCTTGATCATGGGTTATCTTTCCACTTGATCCCATGACCCCGGGATCATGACCTCAGTCAAAATTAAGAGTCAGATGCTTAACTGACTGAGCCACCCAGGTGCCCCAAGAGAAGATCATTTTTTTGTCATTGTTAAATAATCACAGTTATTTACTAATGGGATGTGTGTATGTGTTGTGCACTACATAATTTCTCAAACCTTAGAATCAGATAGTATACTGCCAATCTTGTTTCACGTTAATGTTCATTTAGTACTTGCCTTTTTTATTAATCAGGGAAACTGTCCAAAACCTAGCTTTGCAAGGATAAGAAATCACTGACCATTTATCGCATGGTCTCACGTTAAACCTGTCAGTTACTCGGAGCTACTAGTTTGCCTGGTGTCTGACAGGTGTTCTGTATCCCTCCGACTCCTTCAAAAGTTTAACATTTTTTGCTCACTGGTGTCCTGTGAGTTCCCTGTGGTGCCTTAGGTCATGCTGGCCCGTAAGTTGGGAACCGTAGCCCTAGAATCACAGGTGCTCTCAGGGTTTATTGGAATCACGTCTTTTCCACTTTGCTTTTCTACATATGCTCTTCCACCCTTGGTTTTCACTCTCCGAGAGTCACTGGCAAAGTAGCAATGACACACTAAACTCTGGGGTGATGGTTCAAAAAGATGACGTATTTCCTTGGCAATTAAAAATGTAGACCGTTATACTTCTGCCAGAAGACGAGCGTGTGAGTACGTGTCAAATAGAAAGTACTCAGGTGAAATATACGCAAGTGGTGTTAGTCAAATATTTCGGCCTCTCTGCTCCATTTTCCCTAGAGTTTAAGGAAATTGTCACGTCAAAAATAAGGAGATTTATAGTAACGCAGAATTTCTTAACAGTGAGCTTTTCTTAAGAACCAAAGACCTGACGCAGGCAGGACAGTTGTTTTTCCATGAACAGAGGAAACCGTAGAGAAAAATTAGCTCAGAAGTTTGAAACTGCACATTTATCACAGGACTCTTATGCTTGATCTTTTCTCCCCAAAGCCGGTGGTTCTGTTTTTCTACAGTGTCGTGTTTGCACACGAAACACCACGTAAGTGTGAGTACGCGCGCTCCCAGGCTCCTGGCGGGAAAAAGGGGTCCTGAGACCTGACTTGTGTCCCAGAATTGAGCGCGCATGGCGGGGGGGGGGGGGGGGGGCAAGGGGAGACCCGAGGGAGAGCTGCTGTCACGGCCCACTGAGAGCTGCCCTCTGGCTGAAAGGCGAGGGAAAACGCAACCACAGGAAGAAGGAAGCCAGTCCAGGAAGACGGAGCAGAAAGAGGTTCGAACCAAGCGGAAGGACAGTGGAAAGGAGAAAGCAGCAGAGGCATGCGGTATCCAAACCGACACGGTTTGCTCAGAATTTCTACACGTCCTGGAAAAGTAAAACTTGGGTTCGACAAAATCTGACGCAGAGAATTAATTTACCGAGAGGGAGCGCTGGACGAGGGACGAGCTATTTTAGGTGGTGTTGTCGTCTCACCTACTCACCTTGTCCACTCAAAATCATCTGCGCTGAAGACCCCTTTCAGCAGCAGGTCCCCCACTATGTCTCTGCAGTGAACGTACAGCGTGAGCAGCGCCCCCAGGACGGCTTTCGTGCGCGCGTTACCGCAATCCAGCGCCACAAGCTCCGAAATCTCCTCCAGCTGACCCATCAGACCAGCACGGACTTTCTCCAGCTCCTCTCTTGAACGAGAGCTCGCAAAACTTCTGACGCAATCATTAGAAAACATGATCTGGCTCTGAAAAAGAGGTCAAGATGACGAGTGAAGAATAAACTTGATGAATTAAACCAGACGTTTTCATACCACGTGAGTGTGCGCAGTTTACCCGCTTGTACGTATCTGAGAGTAAGACACTGAACTCGGGTTAACGCCTGTGGGGCCCTTGTTTTTTAAGAAGCCGAAATGTATTTACCACCAATATTTATACTTTTGAAATCTTGTATTCTTTTTTTTTTTTTTTTTTAAGTTTATTTATTTCTTTTGAGAGAGAGAGAAAGCATTGAGTGGAGAAGGTGCAGAGAGTGAGGGAGACACAGAATCCCAAGCAGGCTCTACACTGTCAGCACAGAGCCCGACGTGGAGCTTGAACTCATGAACCGTGAGATCATGACCTGAGCTGAAGTCGGACGCTTAATCGACCGAGCCACCCAGGTGCCCTGAAATCTTGTATTCTTAACCACCATCACTAGCCTGAGCAGTAATCCAGGGACAGTGATAATGGTAGAAAACCCCAACAGGAAGTCAGCACCGTTTCCTCAGTTGAACCCAGAAATACTAGTCTTAGAATATGGTGTCTGCAATCGTAATTTTCAGGAACTCCGAATAACTTGTTACTTGATCCATTTTCGGACACTCACTCTTACCATAAACGCCAGAGCTGTTTTAAGAAGGCTACTAGATTAACATCACATTGACCTGGAAGTCGGTGGAGGGGACACGTCAGGAGGCTTGTAGGCTTCTGCCCCATAATGAGATAAATCGTGATTTCGGTCACTAGGATAGTCCTACTGAGGGGGAAGTGTGCTGCGGGTGAGAGGGGACAGTGAATTCGTTTTGGGATTTTATGAATCTGAAGTGCCTAAGAAGCATATAAGTAAGGCTGTGAAGAAATAAATACCGGAATAATTAACATGGAGGTAATCTGTATAGCGGGGGGGGGGGTTTGCCCAGAGCAAGGTCAGAGGGTAGAGGATGGGACACCTGACGCACCCGTCGGTGCTGCTGGCTGACTCTCTTCGAGGATGTGGTAACCCACAGCAGTGGATCAACAGGAGGCTGGACACGGAGGCTCAGGAAGTAGGCGGGAGCAAGTCTGGGCCAGGCAGCAGGGACCGTCATCGAGGCCACCGCACTTAACCAGAGCCAGAAGCCACCCCACTGCTGGGTTTGAGGCATCTATTCAAGATTCCCAGCCTAGGCGGAGAGCATCCAATGGGCCGAGTGCCCTCCCCGGGCTGCAGCAGTGGGGACGGAGGAGGATTTGGTCCCGGCGAGGTGGACCGGGAACCAGATCTTCATTTATTTAGGTAGATGGATGGAAGGGCGTCCTCACTCGCTACGGCTTGGATAAACCCACGCTGGGATTCTGGAATTCTGTCGGTGGCCAGAGCGTGCAAACATCTCACCCCCGCCCGCCCACGGGCGTCTGCCGGGAGAAGGTTCCCAGTCGCGTCACGTGCGCAGGAGAAAGGGAGGCTGTCAACTGCACAGGGAGGAGAGGTGAGCAGTGGGCAGCCTGGGAGAAAACGGGGCAAAGTCTGTTCGGTGATTTGAGCTCAAGCCTATAATAGAGCATTTCTGGAAATGACCCAGCCTGCTGCTTACTGTTAACATTTTCGGAGGACCAGGGACCTGGGGAAGATCTTTTCTTCGTAGAGCGGATTCGATCATTCGAATGCCCGGTAAACCACAGAAACATCCAGATGGCTTCATTACAATTTCGCCGCCTTTGCAGACAACAGCTTCAGCAAGTCCTCGGCCCAGGATCTTAGAGGATCTGATCGATCTTCAGTCAAGGGGACGACAGACGGGACCAAGGGGATTTGACATCGGAATTCGGGTCCATAATCCCAGGTTCTCTTAACAGAGGCTCGGCCGTCGTGGCGGCACAAGGCAGAGTAAAACGAGGTGATGTTGGTCTTACGTTCAACAGAGGAGTTAATAGAGCCACTCGACGACGGTAACTCCTGATGACGAGACTTCCGCCTTCACCACTGCGGGAAAACTACTGTCTCCATGGTTCCTGCAGACCCTCATCGCAACGGACACAGAGGACTCTTCAGGCCTCTCTAGAGCATCTTAAAATGACGAGCAGGCACTTTTTCTAGAGGAAAGTCCATCAGATTCCCTCTGTCCTGCCTTGGCTTCCAGGACCCCCTCCTGGGCACTCGATTCCCTCCTTCCACCGCCCCCTCCTTCATCTGTTTGTCACGGGGGGTGTCCACTGGGGTCTTTCCTCTTCCTTGTCTTTTTCTGCGGGTCCTATACACTCTCTCAGCTTCAGCCATCACTTCACCGGCTCTGCTCACAGGAGCTGCCCGCCTTGGCTTTCTTGGTACCACACGGGCCTTGCGTTTCTTCCTCTTCCCCTTCGAGGCCCAGAATGATGGTTCCCCGCAAAGATATCCAGGCGCTAGTCCCCAGGTGCTTCTGGCACCTCACTTAATTACATCAAGACCTTGAGGTGGAGAGATTACTCTGGATGATCTGAGTGGTCCCGACACGATCACACGGGAGAACTTCTTCTGCCTGCGAACAGAGGGAGGTCAGACGAAGGAGACCGGCCAGAGAGACACAAACCACGCTGGCTTTGAAAATGAAGGAGGGGCCACAAGCCAAGGGGTGTCAGTGGCCTCTAGAAGCTGGAAAAGATGAGGAAAGGGAGGCTCCCCCAGAGCCTCCAGGAAGGAATGTGGCCCGGCTGACGCCTTGATTTTAGCCAGTGGGCCCGGGGGGGGGGGGGGGGCCCTGGAACCGGCAGAGCCGCGACGTAATGAACGTATGCTAAGTTTGTGGTAACTCTCTAATGGCGATGGGAGAAAACAAACACAATGCAACAGAGTGACATCCCTAAGAAAATAGTGTGCGATTTATTTTCATTCAACGTTTTCTTATGAAAACATTTAAAAACATGAAAAGGTGGAATTATAAAACGAATACCCATATACCCACCACCTATGTGCTAATTTTTTGCTACATTTGCCTTCTTGCACATCTGTCCATGCATCCGTCCGTTCGTCCGTCTTATGTTTTGATGCATTTCAAAGTAAGTGGCACATATAAGTACCGTTCGTGATGGTTTATTTCTACATCTTTGCTTTCTTGGCAGTCTAGTTCAAATGAACTTACCACTGTGAGGACCACTTGTCCCGGATGAGACACCACCCACACGGAAAAAGTCTGGTAGCTCCAGTCTTCGACCCCTTGACTTACAAATCTATAAACAAAACGTTTTATTTCCATTATTACATGTGATCATTGTGGCCCCTTAATGATCAAGCGTGACAAGATTTTCCCTTAGGATCCCTAATTTTTTAACTCTACGTATATGTATGGGATCAAATGCTAGAGATAACAGAGCCTTAATTCATGCATAATGAATATTCCTTAAACTTCTCTTTAATACCACCTGTACGTGTCCAGTGAGGGGCCACCAAGTTTTGGGGATGGTAAAGCTAGAAGGGGGAGACGACACATATTTAGGTTTGAATTTCATACTATCAGTGACAAAGTCAGCATTTGAAATAATTTGTACAAGGGTGCCTGGGTGGCTCAGTCGGTTAAGCGTTGGACTTCGGCCCAGGTCACGATTCACAGTACGTGAGTTTAGGCCCCGTGTCGGGCTCTGTGCTGACAGCTCAGAGCCTGGAGCCTGCTTTGGGTTCTGTGTCTCCCTCCCCCTCTCTCTGCCCCTCCCATGCTCATGCTCTGTCTCTCTGTCTCAAAAATGAATAAAATGTTTAAAAAATAATACTAATTTGTACAAGATGGAGTACTGGGCTGAAACCACCAAATGAACTTTAGCAGTAAAGCCTTGCATTTAACTTTAAAAATGAGTCATAATGAAGAAAATAGGATTTATGAAAAATATGTAGAAATTTTTCTTTAAGACTAAGTTCATGTGTGCCATCAGTATATGTCTTCATATTGTTATGGTGGGTTTTTTTCACTCACAAGTTTTAAGTTTTTATATAGTCAAATTGATGACTCTTCACATTTTCTCACTGAAATTCTCACACATTTTCTCACTGAAATTAGAAATTCTCAACACTAAATCTGTTTTCTTCTAATACTTCATTTATCAATCTTTACTTAGACTTTGATTTTTATTTTTTTAATTAAAAAAATGTGTATTTATTTTGAGAGAGAGAGAGAACCAACCGTGAGATCATGACCTGAGTTGAAACCAAGAGTCAGACACTTAACCGTCTGAGCCCTCCAGGTGCCCCTAGAATTTATTTGATTTTTAAAATGAATATTGATTCTAATTTTTGCTGTAATTGCAAATGGTGTCTGTTTTTATTATTTTCTTCTTTATCATTGCCACTGAGGGCAAATAGGTTTATAGTGACTTTTTATATATTTCAAGACAACATCAGTGGCGAATGTATGTTTAATCAACTAAATTGGTCTTTTATTTCATTTAGTGTTTGTTTTCTTTTGGTTTGTTATTCCATGAACTGTCTTTATTGCTTTTATTCATAACTTTTTGTAGCATGGCTGTATCTCTCAAACAGGATACAGTTCCGTTTATCTTTTGACAAGATCTTTTAATTAGGATCATATTCCTATTTTGACCCTCTCCCCCCACCCACTGTATTTTCTTTATTTTGTTTCTCCCAGGGTTTGGGAAATATTTATTCTGATTTTTTATAGTCTATAGTGTGAGTGGATCAAGATTTTTGACTTAATAATCCTGTCTTCATCCTGAACCATATTCTTTCAAATGACAGATGAGACGCGAATATTATATATAATACACATATTACCTATTTTATACATACACACGCACGCCACACTGGACGAGAACAAAGTGTGCTCTGGGACACTGACGACGAGGAAAGTCTCTTGCAGACAGACAGCAAACTGGGATTGAATTACAGAAAGAAGAGCAGAGAAACCAAAGAACACCACTGTCGGGTGCGACAAACACAACAGCACCCGGGGAGCATCTTCGGACGGTCACGAGAGCCGTGACCTCTGCCTGTGTCTCCACCACCCGCCCTGTGCTGACTTCCGGGTGGGGGTGGGGGCGTTGGGAGCGTCCTAGGGTGAACGCTGGAGGGAGCAGCAGAGCAGTGCCCGAAATCACAGCACACACCCTGAACCACGGATGGGGAAGATAAAAGGAACGGAGGGTGGGGGTGGGGAGAGAGGGAGGGAGAGCAAACAAGGGAAGGGGACCCTGGCATTTTCCCCTAAGAGGAGGAAGATCTTAAGCGGGGCTGGAACTCCGGGACCAGCGAGGTGACCCGGGAGGCGACAGAGGGGGTGTGCAGGCTCCGGGAGAGACAGAAGGAATCTGCAGACGCTGAGAGATGAGCCACCACGGACTGGGCCCCGCGTCCGTCCTGCCAACCGCAGCCGTGGCGGGCGGCCCGCTGCGATTACGCACTGGTGTTTGCTCGCCGGGGGATAGGGACTCGCCGGTGTGAGCGTGAATAACCCAGTCTGCCCAGGGGCGCGGTGTGAACGGAGCCCACGCAGCCTCGCGCAGCTCCGTTCCCAAAGCGAGCACACATCCGAGGCTCCGGGACCCGATGCAGGTCACGGGTGGGCGGCGGCTGACGATCGCTCAGCCAGAGGGGAGTGTCACTTCTGAAGACGAACCTCACCTGGAGAGACAGAACACTGCCAAGTCCTGCAACACTCGATAAAATAAAAGGAACTTCTCCAAAGGTGAGAGAAGACCTCAGTTTGGGCTGACCTGCAGAATGGTCACGTATCAGAACGAAATCGATGCCTCTCCCAAAACCCGGCAGAAAAGGGCAGACCCTGCATGTCCACCACCCCCGCGCTGTTGTCTCCTGCTCTTGACCCAGGTGTCATCAAGCCCCCACCGAGAGGCCCGCCTGAGGCCACACTGCAGCATCCCAGAAGACATTCCAGCTCTGTCCTGCCCGCCTGGTGCTCCGAGGGTCTCTCGGTGTTTCTCCCTGACCCGATCCACTCAGCTCTTCCTCACCAACGCATCGCTTTGGTGATATTTTGGGGGAGCTAGCATTCAACACGTTGGATTTGACCTTAGAAATTAATTCCACTCAGATTAGCATGCAAGTAAGAGAGCAAAATAAAAATATTTGCCACTCACAGATGCTTTCTGAAAAAATTACTTGGAAATATATAGCAGAATGAAACTAAACTCTACAGTGTGAGACGTATGAATCCATCATGAACAAAAACCAAACCAAACAGACCAAAAAATTACTAACACTAGAGAATTACAGATGCATACACAGGGAGTTCAATTTGGAATAAAATCCCACATGATTACGGAGGTGACGGGAGGGCATTCTGGAGTGACCATGCACACTGGGGACAAATTGGATTTTACCACAGGCTTTGACTGCATTAACATTTTAAGAGTATCACCAGGAAAAAGTGTCTCTGACTTTGGCATGTCTACCCCAAAAGAGATGAGGAAACTCAATATAACAACAGTAAGTGAACTCCCCCCACCAAAACCAAGAGCCCAGTCACGAGAAGACATACAACAGGAAACCGCGGGAAGGAGCACACACGAGGGTGCTCGGGGAGTTTACGGAAGGGACTCTGCAGACGTGCAGCAAGGTTAAGGGAGGGAACAGGGGTGGTGAAGCATTTATTTATTAAAAATAGTGCTGGGCATCCAGGTGGCTCAGTCAAGCATCCAACTCTTGACTCGGGCTCATGTCATGATCTCATGGTTTGTGAGTTCGAGTCCTGAATTGGCTCTGCACTGACATCGTGGATCCTGCTTAGGATCCTCTCTCTCCTCTCTCTGCTCCTCCCCAGCTCGCACATGCATGTGTGCTCTCTCAAAATAAATAAATAAACTTAAAAAAAGAAAAAAAGAAAGAGGGGGCCTGGGTGGCTCAGTTGGTTGAGTGACCGACTTCGGCTCAGGTCATGATCTCACAGTCTGTGAGTTCGAGCCCCACGTGGGGCTCTGTGCTGACAGCTCAGAGCCTGGAGCCTGCTTTGGATTCTGTCTCCCTCTCTCTCTGCCCCTCTCTTGCTCATGCTCACTCTCTCTCTCAAAGAATAAACAAATATTTTTAAAAAATTTTTTAAAAGAAAGAAAGAAATGCTAGAAATACGAAAAGGATAAAAATCCACAGAAAAGGAAGAAATGTTTAACACAGTTTTCTAAAAAAAAAAGTAAGCGGACCAAAGAATGAACAGGAAAACAAGGAAAATTCAACATAAGGAAATCTGTTATTGTAATTCATGACAACCACAAATCAAAGTTTAAAGAGTATTTGGGATTCTTGATAGTTTCATTAAAAAAAACCTCTGATCTTAATAAACATCCTTTAATTATTAAAAACTCTGCAAACAAGGAATAGAACAAAACTCTTTACTTTGATGAGGGGTACATTCCAGAAATCTAAGCATCGTTACAAATGGAAATACTAGAGATGTTCCCAGTAAAGTCAGGAACAAGAGAAGGATGCTCACTGTCACCTCTGCTTTTCAACACTGTACATCTGTCATCCTAAACAACATGAAAAGGAAGTGACACTTTTCAAAGGACTGTAAAGAGACCTTAGTAGCAGTATTATCATTATTAGCAAATGACAAGACTCTCTAACCAGAAAACTCCCAGAGTAACAAGTGGAAATCTGTTGGTCTCTCAAATGCCCAGATGCCTTTTGTGGGGCGGGGGGGGGGGGGGTGGGGGGGGCGTCCTTGCCCAGAGGAGTTCCTGCCCTCACACATAAGAGGACATCTGGCCCTTATCACATCACCCCCAGGGAAAAACCAGAGCCAGGGAAAGCCACTGTGGTTATTTATGTAAGTAAATAATAATCTACTCTACTCTAGAAGCCTTGTGTGGGCATTCAGGATCATATTAATAAATACAGATATTAAAACCTCAAGACCCATAAGTAGCTTTTCTTTTTTTTTTTAAGTTTATTTTTATTTAATTTGAGAGAGAGATAGAGAGCAAGGCAGAGAGGGGCAGAGAGAGAGGAGGAGCGAGAGAATCCACAGGCTCCACACTGTCAGCACAGAGCCCGATGTGGGGCTCGAACTCATGAACTGTGAGATCATGACCTGAGCTGAAATCAAGAGTCGGATGCTTAACCGACCGAACCACGCAGGCACCCCCCAACCAGTAAGTAGCCTTTCTAGAATCGACCACAAATAATTAGAAATGTACAAGACTGCTCTAGTCAAATTAGCTTTACAAGTTCCCACTCTGAGGCTCTTCCTTTCAGGAACAGTAGCCAACGACAGACTGAAACGTAAGGAGGAGAACGTTATGAAGACTGAACCGAACAAACAGTGTGAGGAAGCAGAAGCCGGGTGAGCTGCGTCTTTTGGAAGCAGGTGGCGATGCCCACCCCAAGTTCAGGCCCGGGCCAGTTTGAAGATAGTTGCGAGTCTCAAAGCACACAAAAACCGCCCAAGTGCGGTCTGTGATGATGCTCTCAAACGGACATTCACACTGTAAAAATGATGATTTTCCATTCAGCCATATGCCATCGTGTTCTATCCAAGCCCATTTCAAAGACTTTACTCCATACATTTCTGCGGATACTTCCCACTTAGATTAATAAATAATTAACTGAGTTTAAAATATATATAATGTAATCTTAAGATGTAAAAATCGTACTCACTTTTTCATCACATCAAACATGCTTTTCTCAACATTTACCAGCCACTGTTCCACGGCACTTCTTACTCGAATTTTCCTATATTTTTTTCAAAAATAATTTGCAAGGAATTCTTTTTATTCATGTCTCGTTCCTTTGATAAGACTGTAGACTAAGTCTTCTACACTTAGAACATTCACAGGCCAAAAGATCATAAATCTGTCATTTTGTTTATTCTAGATCTTAATTTGGAAATCTACACAGAACACATTCCACCTAACTTGAGGAAATCCTGACGTCGAAACCAGGGGTTTACAAAATTAAGAGTTTCCAGTAAGACGTGGGCTGACAAAGTAGATAAATTACATTGCAAAGCGTTTTTGTATTCCTCCCCGGTTCTTTTCAACAGCCGGCCTGGGGCAGGGCTGGGTTAGGGAGGCTGGTGATGGGAGCACATGGGTGTAGCCTTTTTAGTCAGCTCACATCAGGAAGCACACGCCAAAGGCTGGCTGGCAAACTGGACCAGTGTGGCAGCAGGACCTGGCTAACTTGGGGACATTCACAACGGGGCCCGGGGTCGGGGAGGAAGCAGGGGAAGCAGCATGAACGACCCCAAGCAAATTGCCAATCTCCTTCCTAAGTTCCTAGAATAAAACCTCGTGGTGGCATTCGGGACGATCGCAACAAATACAGAAATGGAAAGGTAAAATTCTGCATAGCTACGTTAGTTTTGAAGAAATCATTGGCTCAGCAAACTTCCGTGAAATATCAGAAATGTCCAAGCAGATTATTCAATAAAGAAGTTTTACAGACTGGGAATGCGGAGTCTGTAACCTACAAACCGTACTTGGGCAGCAGAAGGCACTCTCCTTCAGCGGATATGAGCATTATGACGGCAGGGGGCCCAATTTCTTGCTTCCACAGCAGTAACCGTTTTATATTTTCAAAACATTTCGCAAGATGAGGCTATGGACCAGAAACGGATGTCAGCAACGCTGAGAAATTCTGACCTGGTTGGGAAATAGCATCGCTGAGCGTGGAATGATGACATTACCTGTAGACACTCCGGATTTCTGCTATTCGCTATGATGTCGAGAAGTTCAGTGTTGCTGAGAAAGTAAAATCTGGGGAAAATCATTCTTTTAGTTTCAAGGTAGTCCTGTCCAGAACCAAAAGAAATGAGAGTTCATAATCTATGGTTAATTATGCTAGGACTCACTTCCCCATTCGGGCCTCTGTTTGTTTACACGCAAAACCCACAGTATTTAACTTGCAGTGTGCAGACTACCAGTAAAAGGGTGACCCGTGCTCGATCTATGCTTCAATCGCTAAAAACAATTCTTAATAAACAAAACTAAAACAAATGAAAATAAAAGCACAAGTCCCGCAGGTGAACACAAGCGCACGGACACCACTCACAAAGCGCTGTGGGCCCCCAGGCCCCACCTTTCTGCTGTTGCCCGACCCTGTGGTCCCGTTGAGGACAAGGTCCCTCTGCCGGTGGCCCCCCTGCTAATGGACTGACAGGGATGCCACTCTCGTCCCTCCGCCACTCATGACCATTTGCTTCCAGGGCTCCCCAGCCCCTCTCTCCTCCCACTTGCCACTGTACTTCCTGCCCGGCTGGGCACCTGCTCCGTGGCTCCTGTCACCTCCCTGTGTCCCACACCTACGCGTCCAAATGCTGATCGAAGATGCTCATTTGACTGCCCCATAAGAATTGGATTTCCAACATGCACAGAATTCACTTGTTTCCACGCAAGCCTCCTCCCCCTACTTCCTATCCCTGTGGTGTAATCACTTTTCCCTCCCATGGCCATGACCCTGGGCCTCTGTCCTGTCTCCTCCACACACCCACCTGAAGCTCCCGGTCCACCTCCTTTCATCCTGACCATCATCCTCCCTCAGTCCCCCCAGGACTTCTAGCCTTTTAACTGGTTTCTGCATATGTATTCCCACTGCCCCCGATCTAGACATACTCTGTGCTCCCTTCTACGGACACATTTCTCAATCAAGTCACTTTACTCCGTCAGTCAAAATCCAATGACATTCAAGGCCCTTCGTCATCTGGTCCTGCTTCCCGGAGAATCTCCCCTCTCCCCTCTTGCCCCTTTGCGACCAAGGCATCCTCTGTACCAACCCATTTACAACTCCCGAACGTGCCACACTTGCTCGTGTTCTTCCCCCTGGCCTAGGGTGCTCCTCCCAGCCACCTCCTCCCGGACTCTTTCACCTGGCCAACTCACACACTTCTTCCCAAACCCAGGTGAGTTCTCACTTCTCCCAGGGCAAGGGGTGAATCTCTCTCCTTTCATGTGACCGTACCATCCAACCCATCACAGCATACATCACATGCTAGCATCTCTCTACTCTGGTTCCTATAATAGATCTCGAGTTCTGTAATAGGAGGGGAGGATGTGGGGAGTCCCAGTATGCAGCTGCAGTGCCTGGTATGAAGCAGGTGCTCAGTACATGAATAAATGGAAAATCCCCGGTTGGTAATGATGCTTAGTAATAGTCCAAAGATGCGCTAGAAATAATGAGAAGACTTATTTCAGTCCCTACTCGGTAAACTTGCTATTATTAACCAGATCCCTCTGGGAGGGGCCTCAGATCCTGGATTCATATAGCAGAAGGTCTTCCTGGGCAGAGAACTTTCTATAGGCTGAAACTGCCATATGTAGGTATTCTGGAGAGGTCATTCCAACCACTGTGAATTATGTTCAACAAGGAGAAAGAGATAAAAAACTGGAAAGAGATCTTGGTTTATGAAGTGAATATATTCACCCCGAATCTCAAATATTAAAACCTGATATTTAAAAAATATGTATGTCTGGGGGCGCCTGGGTGGCGCAGTCGGTTAAGCGTCCGACTTCAGCCAGGTCACGATCTCGCGGTCCATGAGTTCGAGCCCCACGTCAGGCTCTGGGCTGATGGCTCAGAGCCTGGAGCCTGTTTCCGATTCTGCGTCTCCCTCTCTCTCTGCCCCTCCCCCATTCATGCTCTGTCTCTCTCTGTCCCAAAAATAAATAAATGTTGAAAAAAAAAATATGTATGTCTAGATGACAATTTAATGTTCTGGCAAAGGTGTTTTTTGTTTTGTTATTTGAGATAGAGAGAGAGAGATGTAGAGAGAACACATGCCAGGGAGGGGGCAGAGGGAGAGAGAAAGAATCTTCAGCATATTCCGCACTGAGCATAGAACCTGACGTGGGGCTCGATCTCACAAATTGTGAGATCAGGACCTGAGCCAAAACCCAGATTCAGATGCTTAATCGACTAAGCCACTTAACCTAGGTGCCCCTGGCAATTTAAATATATGGAATCAATAACTTACTTTATAAAATTATCAAACTAGGACTTCTAGGGATGATGGCAGAGTAGGAGGACCCAGGCTTGCCCCACTACCCAGGTACACCTAGGTAACACCCACGTCAGCATATATAACTCAGAAAATGACACAAAGACTGGCAGAACAATCCCCCCCCCCCCGCGCCCAACTAAATGTAGAGAAGAGGTCACAGTGGGGAAGAGAGGAAGGGCAGAGAGGTGCTGAGGACCTAAATGGACCTAGGAGTCTGTCTGCAGGAGAGAGTGGGTGCAGAGAAGGGAGAGAAACAGAGCCTCTCATGGGGAGCCAGCATGAGAAAAATAAATCCCCATAACATCTGGCTTGGAAAATGAGACAGGTCAAATTTCACAAGTTCTTACAACCAACAGGACTAAAAAATCTAGAATTTTAAAAATCAGTAGCTGTGCTGGAGAGACAGAGATCAGTGAGGGAGTTCTCCAGGAACAAAGTTGCTGCAGGTACCATTTCCCGCCCTTCCCCCCAGCCTAGATATCCTGACACCTCCCGGAACTAACTTGCTAACGGCAACTCCCCTTACTTGGGTGTGTACAGTCCCCCTCCAGCCAGACCTCAGCTCTAGGTCCCCTCCCACAGCACACCTGCACAGACCACGGTAGCACAGTGCTCCCATCCATGTGCATGCTGCGGATCCACCCTGTCTAATACGCTGGTGACCAGATCCCATCGAAGCAGCACCACAAACCTGGCAGTGTGCGAGCAGCCCAGACAGGGGCCACGCCACTCCACAGTGAGTCCCGCCCTTGGGAAAGGGGAGGATAACATACACACCAGTCTGACCGTAGCCCCAGCGGTGGGCTGGGGGCAGACATCGGGTCTGACTGCGGCCTCGCCCACCAATACGAGTTTCTCCGGACCACACAGGGGAAGTGCCCTGCAGTTTGGAGCTACCGCATCTCTAGCAAACTCCTGGTCTGATCCGCCGCGCCCCAGACCGACCCGCTAACCGCACAGGGACCGGACCCTGCCCACAACAGGCAGAGCCACTGCAGACGACTGGATGGAAGGTGAACACAGTTCAGCCACAGTAGGACACCCCTGTAGCAACGCACAGAGGGGACACCCTTGAAGCGCCGTTTTCCGGTGAACAGGGGACACTGCACCGTGGGGCGCTACAGGACCTCGTCTTCCTAAGGCCACTGCTTTAAGTGCGGGAGACGCAGCTGACTTTGCTAACAGAGACACAGACGCAGCAGTAGACAAAATGAGGAGATGGAGGAATAGGTTCCAGATGAAAGAACAGAACAAAATCACATCAAGAGAGCTACATGAAAGAAAGATAAGTAATGTGCCTGACAGAATTTAAAGTAACCATCATAAATGACTGGACTTGAGAAGACAGTGGGGCATCTCAGTGAGACACTCAACAAAGATAGAAATCAGAGACGAAGAAGACAACTGAGGCTAAAAATACACGAGAGGGCATTCATAGTAGACTAGAGGAAGCAGAAGAATGTATCAGCTACCTAGAGAACAGAGTAATGGAGAGCAATCAAGCTGAACAGAAAAGAGAAAAAAGAATAATAAAAACTGAGAACAGGTTAAGGGAACTCAGAAACACCAGGAAGCACAGTAACATTCACATTATAGGGATCCCAGAAAGGGAAGGGAGAGAAGGGGGGCAGAAAATTTATTTGAAGAAATAATAGCTGAAAATTTCCCAAATTTGGGGAAGGAAACAGAAATTCAGATCCAGGAGGCACAGAAAACCCTTAACAAACCAACCCACAGAGGTCAACAGCAAGGCACATAGTAATTAAAAAGGCAAAAAGTAGTGATCAAGAGAGAATTTTAAAAGCAGCAAGAGAGAGCACATGGGTGGCTCAGTCAATTAAGTGTCCAACTTCAGCTCAGGTCATGATCTTGCCATTTGTGAGTTCAAGCCCTACGATGGGCTTTGGGCTGTCAGCACAGAACTCGTTTCAGATCCTCTATCTCCTTCTCTCTCTGCCCCTCGCCTATATTCTGTCACTCTCTCAGAAATAAGTAAACATTTATAAAAGCAGCAAGAGAAAAGAAAAACAGTAACATACAAGGGAAACCCCAAAAGGCTATTAGCTGATTTTTCAGCAGAAACTTTGCAGGCCAGAAGGGAGGGGCATGATATAATCAAAGTGCTTAAAGGAAAACACCTGTAGCCAAGAATACTCTATCCAGCGAGGCTATCATTCGGAACAGAAGGAGAGATAAAGAGCTTCCTACACACAAAAAAGTTAAAGGAGTTCATGACCACTAAACCAGCCCTACAAGAAATGATAAAGGGGACTCTGAGTGGAAAGGAAAGACCATAAACAGGAGTAAGAAAAGCAGGAATCACAAAAGCAGTGAAAATAAGTATATATGTAAAAATCTGTCGAGGGATTCACAAAATAAAAGTAAAGTATGTAAAGTATGACACCATATACATAAAATGTGGAGAGGAGTAAAAATTTAGTACTTTACAATGGGCTCAGACTTAAGCGACCATCAACTTAGTATAGATTTCTATATGCATAAGATGTTATATACACACCCAATGGGAACCACAAATCCCAAACCAGTAATAGATATGCAAAAAATAAAGAGAGAAGAATCTAAGTATATCACTAAACAAAGTCAGCAAACCATGAGAGAAAACAGCAAGAGAAGAAAGGAACAGAGAAGAACTACAAAAACAACCACAAAATGAGTAACAGAATGGCAGTAAGTACATACCTGTCAATAATTACTCTGAATGGAAACAGACTAAACGCTCCAATTAAAAGACACAGGGTGACAGAATGGATAAAAAAGCAAGACCCATCTTGCCTGCAAGAGACTCATTTCAGACCTAAAGACACCTACAGATTGAAAGTGAAGGGATAGAAAGGCATATATCAAGAGAGTAAGTGAAAAGAAAGTCAGGGTAGCAATACTTATATTGGACAAAGTAGACATTAGATCGAAGACTGTAACAAGAGACAAAGAAAGACACTATATAATCATAAGGGAAATATTTCAACAAGAAGATAGAACGATTGTAAATATTTATGTACCCAATACGAGGGCACTCAAATACATAAATCAGCTAATAACAAACATTAAGGAAATAATCAACAGTAATACAATGATAGTAGGGGACTTTACCACTCCACTTACATCAATGGATAGATCATCCAAACAGAAAATCAATAAGGAAACAGTGGCTTTGAATGACACATTAGACCACATGAATCTAACATATATTAAGAACATTCGATCCCTGAACAGCAGAATACACATTCTTGTCAACTGCACAGGGAACATTCTCCAGAACAGATCACATGTTAGACCACAAAACAAGTCTCAACAAATTAACAAAATCAAGGTCATGCCATGCTTTTCTGACTGCAATGCTACAAAACTAGAAATCAACCACAAGAAAGGATTTGAAAAGAGCACAAATACGTGGAGGTTAAACACATGCTACTAAACAATGAGTGGGTCAATCAAGAAATCAAAGAGGCAATTAAAAAATACATTGAGATAAATGAAAGGAAAACACAATGGTCCAAAACCTTTGGGATGCAGCAAAAGTGGTTCTAAGAGGGAAGTTTATAGCAATACAGGCCTACCTCAATGAAGAAGAAAAATCTCAAATACCTAACCTTACACCTAACGGAGCTACAAAAAGAAGAACAGAACTCAAGATCAGTAGAAGGAAGGAAATAATAAGGATTGAGCAGAAATAAACAAAACAGAAACTAAAAAAACCACAATAGATCAATGAAAACAAGACCTGGCTCTTTGAAAAGATCAACAAAATTGATAGATCTTTAGCCAGATTCATCCCCCCCCCCAAAAAAAAGGAGGCTCAAATAAAATCAGAAATGAAAAAGAAATAACAAATGACAAGACAGAAACACAGAGGATTATATGATTATAAGGGAATATTATGAAAAATTATATACCAACAAATTGGACAACCTAGAAGAAATGGATAAATTCCTAGAAACATATAACCTCCCAAAACTGAATCAGAAAGAAACATAAACTTTGAACAGACTATCAGCAATGAAATTGAATCAGTAATTAAAAGCCTCCCAAAAAACCAAAAGTCCAGGACCAGAAGCTTCACAGGTAAATTCTACCAAACGTTTTTTAAAAAGTTAATACGTATTCTTCTCAAACTATTCCAAAACATAGACAAGGAAAGAAAGCTTCCAAATTCATTCTATGAGGCCAGCATTACCCTGACACCAAAACCACAGAAAGACACTAGAAAAAGAAAGAGAACTACTGGCCAAACCTCTGATGAACATAGATGTACAAATCCTCAACAAAATACTAGCAAACCGAACCCAACAATACATTAAAATTCATTCATCATGATCAAGTGGAATTTATTCCCAGGATGTTCTCATTACACAGAATGAGAACAAACATTCCTAAAATTTGTATGGAACCACCAAAGACCCTGAACAGACAAAGTGATCTTGAAAAAGAACAAAGCTGGAGGCATCACAATCCCAGATTTCATGGTACTGACGTAAAAATAGACACATCGATCCATGAAATACAACAGAAAACCCAGAAATAAACCCATAATTATATGGTCAATTAATCTTTGATAAAGCAAGAAAGAATATCCAGTGGGAAAAAAATGGTCTCTTGAACAAATGGTGCTGGGAAAACTGGATAGCTACATGCAAAAGAATGAAACTGGACCACTTTCTCACACCATACACAAAAAGAAATTCAAAATGGATTAAAGACCTAAATGTGAGACATGAAAACATTAAAATCCTAGAGAAGAACACAGACCTCTTTGCCACTGGCCATAGTAACTTCCTTCTGTATGTCTTTTGAGGCAAGGGAAACAAAAGCAAAAATAAACAAGCGAGACCACACCAAAATACAAAGCTTCTGCACAGTAAAGGAAACAATCAACAAAACTAAAAGGCAACCTACAGAATCGGAGAAGGTATTTCCAAATGACATATTTGATAAAGGGCTAGTATCTGGAATATATAAAGAATTTATATATCCTGATACCAAAAAACCCCCAAATAATCCAAATAAAAAATGGGCAGGAGACATGAACAGACATTTCTCCAAAGAAGATATACAGATGGCTACCAGACACATGAAAAGGTGCTCAACACCACTCACCATCAGGGAAATGCAAATCAAAACCACCATGAGATATCACCTCATGCCTGTCAGAGTGGCTAAAATCCAAAACACAAGGAACAACAAATGTGGTGAGGATGTGGAGAAAAAGGGATCCTAGGGCACTGTTGGTGGGAATGTAAACTGGCACAGCCATCATGGAAAACAATATGGGGGTTCCTCAAAAAATTAAAAATAGAACTATCATATGATCCGATCCTATAATTCCACTACTGGGTATTTAGCCAAAGAATATGAAAACACTAATTCAAAAGGATACATACACCCCAATGTTTATAACAGCACTATCGCCAATAGCCAAATTATGGGAGCAACCCAAGTGTCCACTGAATGATGAATGGATAAAGAAGATGTGGTGTATATACACAACGGAATATTACTCAGCCATAAAAAGGAATGAAATCTTGCCATATGCAATGACATGGATTACTTGTAGAGGGTAAGAGGCTAAGTGAAGTCAGTCAGTCAGAGAAAAACAAATATGATTTGTTTTTACTCATATGATTTTACTCACATGTGTAATTTAAGAAACAACAAATAAACAAAGGGAAAACAAAGAAACAGACACTTAACTCTAGAGAACAAACAGGTAGTTACCCCAGGGGGGGGGGGGGGGGGGGGATGGGTGAAATCGGTGAAGGGGATTAAAGTACACCTATCGCGATGAGCACCGTAGGATACAGGAGTCCTGAATCACTATAGCGTACACCTGAAACTAGTATTATGCTCCATGTTGACTATACTGGATTTAAGATCAAATTAAAGGGGCGCCTGGGTGGTTCAGTAGATTGAGCATCTGACTCTTGATTTCAGCTCAGGTCATGATCTCATGGTTTGTGAGTCTGAGTCCCAAGTCGGCCTCTGTGCCGATGGCTCAGAGTCTGCTTGGGATTCTCTCTCTTCCTCCCTCTCTGGCCCTCCGCTGCTTGAGCTCTCTCTCTCTCTCCTGAAAATAAACTTTAAAAAATATTTTAAAAATTAAAAAAAATAAAACCATCGAACTATTTTCAACTTCAACTTTTGCTGATTTTGTCAATTTGATAACAACAGTAGTGCCAATATAAATAACTGGCACTCATGAAATACTTTCTCTGTGCCAGCTCTTGTGCTGTAAACGCATTATCTTATTTAACACAAAGCCCCTCAAGGTAGGCACCACCATTATTCCCAACGTGAAGAGAAGGAAACCTAGGCACTGAAAAATTGGTTTTGTCTCAGGCCATTTAGATGGGTCTATCCACTTTTTTGTTTGACTTCATAGTATTTTCATTAACCCTGTAGTTGGTGAGAGCTGGACATATCGTGGGCAGCTACAGTACAGTAAATCCACGCTGGGATTCGTTTCCGTCATGCCCTACATTACATTTCGAAGATACAATCATTCCCCACTTTCGGATTGCCGGTGTTACCTCAAGACTTTTCATTATATGTTCAAGATGCAGATTGCAATTCTGCAGAGTTTCAAGGACCCCTGCAGAAATGGTTGTTCGCAAAGCATCCAGTTTGTTCTGTATTTTTGACATGATTTCTCTCCACATGGAGATCACTTGAGAGAAGAGTTTTGCTTCCACAGGGAGTTGCCTTTAGGAAGGGAACAAGAGAGAACGTCATCTGTTTAAAAATGTCGTGACATGTTTTATTTTTTGCTGATCATTACAGATATTTTATAGCGTTTATTATCTACAGCGACGCACACGTAGGAAATCTGTGACAAACCAGACATCCATCCGTCATTTAACGGGATTATACTTGGTGCGAGTTCTGAGACAGATAAACACAGTTCTAGTAAAAGTGATTTGTGTCCTGGGATGTAGGAAAACAAAGGCTTCTCCAATTCTAGAGGAAATGGGATCTCAGAGAGCTGCTTCTCCAAGCAGCTATTTTTGGCACTAGCTTCTCCCAATGTCCCCGAGAGGGCAGCATCGCCTGCGGTTGAGAACCGATGGCCCACGGCAGCTAGGTGCTCTCGTGCTTCTGTCCAGAGAAGACGCAGGTCCTCATTTCCGATGCCACCAACCCCAGGGCAATACCTGTCAAGCTCTTCCACGAGCCCCCCACCACTATCCCATTCCCCATTTGGGGCGATGGGCCTAGAAACTTCTTCAGCTCAGCAAAAATCCTATCAAGGAGGGGCCTTCACCCTCCCCTCTGTCGGGCACCCTCCCGACTGCAACAGGAGGCTCTGGGGGGACCTCATGGGAAGTTTGGAGAGAGGGGAATGGACTGCATCTTTGTCCCTCACACAGTCTCTGTAAGGAATTCTCCCTGCTAATGAACCTCCCTCCCCCTCCCTCTCTTTCTCCCCCCCCCCCCCCCCCGGAATCAGGGCCCACCATCCTTCTCCACTTCTCAAAGGCAGGGCCATGGCAGACATGTGTTTCCTTTCCTTTAGCGCTGGGGTGCAGGAGTCTTCAGCACCCCTTAATTACATGCCCCCTTTTCTCTCATAGCAAAGCCTGGGAAGAACGACATGGTGACACTCTGAGCCAGAAGTCGTATCTCTCCATCGATTAAGAAGTCTTTAGGGGCGCCTGGGTGGCGCAGTCGGTTAAGCGTCCGACTTCAGCCAGGTCACGATCTCACGGTCCGTGAGTTCGAGCCCCGCGTCAGGCTCTGGGCTGATGGCTCAGAGCCTGGAGCCTGTTTCCGATTCTGTGTCTCCCTCTCTCTCTGCCCCTCCCCCGTTCAAGCTCTGTCTCTCTCTGTCCCAAAAAAATAAATAAACATTAAAAAAAAAGAAGTCTTTAGTAAAGAGGACTACTGAAGTTTGAATTTAAGGCGCTAAGTTGTAACCACAAAGGACACATTCCCCAGGTATGTGGTTTCCCGTGAGAACTACACAATAACTAGAGCTTGACCCAAGCCCTTTAGAAAGCCATCCTCCGACAAGACATATACACGTATTACAAAAATGGATATTGTTCTCTGCAACGCAGTACTCAAACCTACACAGTTTTCTTTCGTGAGCCGCTTGAAGCTCCCTCTGCCCCTAAAACAAACTTCGCAATACTTAACCTGATATCCAAGGTCTCCCTTCATCTGCTCTAACACCTTACAAACACGCGCTCTGTGATGCCTACTTATTTCAGAACGGCTCCTATGCTAGCTTGTGTGATTCATGGTCAACACTTTAAATTCTGTCTAGACAACACAGATGTCACAAGTCACGCACTCTTAAGACCAGTGACTTTAAAGAGAGACCAAGTAATCTGAATGCTGTGAATAAAAAGAAAAGGGAGAATTTTCCCCAACTGTCTAGGACCTCCATTCTTTCACCTGGTCCAAAGAAACAAACATACATACAGTCATGTATGTAGACTATTAAAAACATGTGTATTGCTCATATCAACACCACACTAATGTTCTAGAACTAAGCAGACACATGGTATTGTGGTTTAGGGATTACAATGACCTGACATTTCTTACCCAATCCTTAACAGCTTTATATCTAAAATTGAGAAATAGGACTTTTTTAAGGAGCTGATGCTTGCTTTCATGAAAGAAAAAATAATAATTCAGCACAATTTACTCCTGTGCCCGTGGCAGATTATTTTAGAATGTTCATTGAACAAATGACTTCTCAGGGATTACAGGCAATGAACACCCACCGTGTGTTTTTTTAACCTCTATACAGCTTTTTTTTTTTTTTTTTACCTTTGTATTTCCACAGAATGAAAGATTGGTTCCAGATAAAGCCAATTTCTTTGACAATTCATCGATTCCTCAAGAGTAGAAGAGAAGAGAGACAAGTTCTGATCCCACTTTTCCACAAGATCCTGTAAGATAAACACACGCATGGTCACAAAACAAGGTGTATAATATGGCTGCATTTATGTAACCACAAATAGTACATGTTACATTAATGTTACATAAATGCACTTATATTATACACATTGCTTTCTAACTTTTTTGCGTTTTGTTTTCGTTTTTTTGGCTTTTTTACCTAACAGTGTCTTTTAGAGACGCTTTACATCAGTACTCACAGTTTTCTGTTTTCTTTTTTTATTTAAAAACATTTTTTTTTTAATGTTTATTTACTTTGAGAGAAACAGAGAGAGCACATGAGCAGAGGAGGGGCAGAGAGAGAGGGAGAAAGTGAGAATCCCAAGCAGGCTCTGAGCTGTCCGTGCAGAGCCTGACGTGGGGCTCGAACTCATAAACCGTGAGATCGTGACCCGAGCCGAAATCAAGAGTTGGGGGCTTAACCAACCAAGCCACCCTGGCGCCCCGCATTCTTTTAATTAACTATAATAAGCATTGTGTGGATTTTACATCTTTCTCCAGCTAGTATATTTATTAAAGTAAGAGAAAAATGGTTAAAAACCAATTAGTACTAAAATGCTTACAAACCAGGAGACTGGCCCACCCCCTAACGTGGACTCATAAGAGGGACCCACGCATAAGTCATTTACTTTTGCTGTGTATCTCCATGTTTCCTTCTAAATCCATTTTATATCTCAATGCCTTTATTAAGGTATAACTGACTTCAGTAAATGGTGCATTTTTAAATCGCACAATTTAATGTTTTGACATGTGTGTTTTTTTTAAATATCAAAAATTTCATAGACTAGAAACACTCTGCATTCTTCTGATGGAAAGCATCTGATGAGTTTCACATTTTAAATGTTACTGGGAGCAAACATTACAGTCAGGTTGGCAAGTGAAGCTCCACTGAGTACAATGGCTTCTTGTTTACATTTCAAAGTTCTTTTATAGTTGACTTCTGATTTTTAAAATTTATTTAAAACTAAATTCATTTAATTCATTTATGGTCATTGCAAAACTGAGACACAAAAAGAAAGAAAACATAATTTAAAAAATTTCAAAATCCTAACACCCAGAGACAGCTCCTGATATTTCCTCCCATTTTTCTTTAGTTTATTATATTTTTAAAAATTGTAAAAGTAGCACATCATCTTCATATGATGGAAATAGTACTAAGGTATATTAAGAAAAACCTTATAATCTTCTCTTTCACACATTGCTGAGGTAACCATTATTAGTAGTTTGCTATCAATCATTTGGTGCTTTCCTGTACACTCAAACAAATATAGACAAAAGGTAGATAACTTTAGATTTAAAAAAAAAAAATTTTTTTTTAACGTTTATTTATTTTTGAGACAGAGAGAGACAGAGCATGAACAGGGGAGGAACAGAGAGAGAGGAAGACACAGAATCGGAAACAGGCTCCAGACTCTGAGCCGTCAGCACAGAGCCCGACGCGGGGCTCGAACTCACGGACTGTGACATCATGACCTGAGCCGAAGTCAGACGCTTAACCGACCGAGCCACCCAGGCGCCCCACTTTAGATTTTTTTTTAACAAATATTGAATTGTACTATATGCATTGTTCTACAATTGTTATTTTTGATATTATAGTTACATTTAAATATGTTAATATACGGACCTGTGCATATATCTAAATCATTCTTTTTTTTTAATTTTCTTTTTTATTTTTTTAAATTTATATCCAAGGTAGTTAGTATATCGTGCAACGATTTCAGGAGTAGATTCCTTAGTGCCCCTCCCCCAACCCCTCCCATAACCCTCAGTTTGTTCTCCATATTTATGAGTCTCTTCTGTTTTGTCCCCCTCCCTGTTTTTATATTTTTGTTTCCCTTCCCTTACATTCACCTGTTTTGTCTCTTAAAATCCTCATATAAAGGAAGCCATATGATTTTTGTCTTTCTTTAATTTCGCTTAGCATAATACCCTCCAGTTCCATCCACGTAGTTGCAAATGGCGAGATTTCATTCTTTTTGATCACCAAGTAATACTCCATTGTGTGTGTGTGTGTGT